TTTTTGTTTTGTTTTGTTTTTTTTTTTTTTTTTAGATCACTGTTGATTAGATTACAAGTACAAAGAAATTGGTGAGAAAGGACCCTCTTAACCACTGAGTCTAGCTCCCCGCTGTCTTAGGCGAGCACATCCTATAGTTCCTCTTATTATGTCTTAAAATTGGTTAAATTCTTGGCCCCTTTCACTTCTGTTGAAAGGCTATTCTAGAATCTTGCTATTCTGGTAGATAATTTCTAAACTTAATAACTGCTTTTACCCACTTACTCACCTGTCAATGTTGTTTGTGAAGAGAACTGATTTTTTCCTGGCACTTTCTGGTATTTGAAAATACAATCCCATTTCCTTGCAATCTTTTGCAATCTTATTTATTATTTATTTATTTTTAAAACCACACATAAAGTACATTTTTTGTTTTCCCAGTCATTCTCCTAGCTCTTTGCTGGACTTGTTACCGTGAAGGGTTAATCTTTCTGGAACCTGCCTGACTAAAACTGTGCCCAGTATCCTGTGTGTGGTCTCAGCACAAGGTTGTATATTAGCACTGATGTTTCTGTTGTAGTGTTCTCCCTTGTGCAGTTTAGGATTGTCATCTCTTTCACTGTTAGGTTGGGTGGATGGCTCGGTCTTTGCTATGATCTCCAAAGTTGATTCTCTCATCCAGCTGAAAAGCTCCTGGATAAAGCAGAAATGTATAAATGTTAACACACTCTAGAACTGATTTCATTTCACTTTTGTTATGTCTCTGTGTACTTCACTGTATGGTCTGATCATGCTCTGTTAATGTAATTACCCAAGTTTATCAACACCATTCATCAACCAACTCCACTGTGTGCATAGCTCATTGATAAAGCTAATAAATAGGATTGGTTTTGAAATGACTCACTGAAGAACTCTGCAGGAATCCTCCCAGTTTCATGGGGGTTACAACAGTGGAACCTGTTGTCATGTATCCTTTAGCTCGTTCACAGCACATACTGCAGTTCTTGGGTTGATGCCCATCTTCTCTTGTGATGACATAATGAATACTTGAGTGAAGCCGAGATTTAAAAAAAAAAAAAGGGCAAATTTTAATTATACCTTTTTAAAAATTAGGTAGTATAGTCTTTAATCTTCATTCTGTGGTCTTTCTGTTTAACTAGCTTCAGCATAAGCACTCAGGAGTTTTGTCATCTTTTGGACCGTCTGTTCTTTGAAGGGCCATGTGTATTTTAGATTCTGTTATTACAGCTATGACAGCGACTACCATTATTTACCTTTTTTCTGTTCAGCACCTTTCTGTTTATACTAGGCTTGAAAATTACTGTTTTTAGCAGCTTCGAGACTCAAAAAAAAAATGGTTGAATAAATTTAGAGTACAGGTGTAGGTGGTTTGGTACAGAATGTAATTACATAGTCCACCTTTTATCCTCGTCTTCTTTTTCATTGGAGTTTCTGAAATGGAACAGGAGAAGTTGATACTCAACCATGTAGGAAAGCAGTTCCAGGAAAAATGTCTTTGAGACCAGAAGAACTGAAGATGAGGTTCAGTGAGCACTGAAATCAGTGGTGCTGGAAGAAGGATCAGTCCTGTCTGCTTCCATGTGATGACTTATTTTTCTGCTACTGCAGGTGTCTATGTGGCCATGTGGTGTACTAGGTTGGGAAACTGTTCTGGATAAAAAGTGACCTAGACCACAGTCAGTGATTTCTCAGCCATATCAGTTCCCTGATGTAGCTTGCTTTCCACAAAAGTGTTGGAAACAAAGGGTGGGAATTGTTTCTTCTGGCAGCAGTGCCAGTTTGGTAAAGCATTGAGTTACAGCCTTAATTTGATTTGGAAGTTCAGACTTCTAGAATTATACACAAAGCATTCTTGGCCCTGTTCTTTTGTTAAACTAATAAGGAATCTTGCCCAAGAGGTGCCTTCATAAACTCATCTGCAATTTCAGCTGAACAAATCAGAGCCAATTCTAGGCTGGGTCTGAAGGTTTAGAAGAGAATTCCTGGACTGTAGAAGTTGACAGAGTGCTCCACATGATGCTATAGCTTCATGAGATGGAGTGTTCAGTCTTCTAGCATGCAAAGCTTCTATATTGCAAATGTGGCCTTTATTTCTATTTTTTTTTTTAATATATTTTTATCCCCTTGAGTTTGAAAATACTAGAATTTGAAATTCCTCTGTCCCCAAAATAGTGTATGTAGTTTCCCCTCCAGACCTCCTGGAGTAATTGTAGCAGTTTTAGTGAAACACTGGAGCACGTTAAGTTAGGCTGAGAGAGCAAACATATAACTTCAGCCTTGTCTTATGAATCCACCACTGAACTATTAGTGGTGACAATGCTAAAAGGCCTTGGAAGCTCATTGTACAAGGAATGAATGACACAAGTGCATAGTAAGATCCAGTGGCACAAAGAGCTTGTGGGCTGTGTCTGCAAAGCATGGGGGGGAAAGTTTTGTATGAGGTCACCCAGCAACTCACCAGCAGAGATTAAAGTAAAACTTTTATTTTCTGAATTGCTGCTCACTACCCTGTCTGTTAAATAGTTACTTCACTGATTGCAGGAGTGTCTCAAATACTGGCATAATTAAATGGAGGACTGGCTGGAGAAGTCTCTGCCCTTTCTCACTTGATTTATCCAAGATTGGTATAAAAATCAGCTGTCAGAAATGAATGTCTGTATCTGCAGGGAGGAATTTTTCTCTCATCTCCTGTTTACTGGAGATAAGGGGAGCTGGAACCAGGGGCTCTGCAAGAGAAGGGGAAATGAATTAAGGTGTACTGTTTCCAATGATACCACTGCTGGAGTTTGTCAGAGAGTCACAATTTGGGACTTGTTTAAACTGTGCTGTCCTTGACAAAGGATGGTGTTATGCTCAAGAAAGGAGGGGTTTGATAAAGTGCAATTACCACTATTTCTTGGATGAAGGCTCCAGGAGGTGAGTAGATTTTGTTCCCTGGGCTCATTGCAGTGTCTTATCTCCGTTTTGGAGCAAGTTTTACATTAATCAGGGTATTAACGTGTCATAAACTTTTGGAGGAAGCTAAGTGTCTTGAGTGTCTTTTGCATGTACTGTCTGGTCTCCAGTGTTAGGTTTACATCTTGCTTTATTCTCTGTTGGGCCTGAGTCCATTAATCACTGTTCCTTTCTTTCTTCTTTGCAGCCTCTGTGAACGTCCTTGTTCAAAACTGCAAGATTTACAATGATGCCAGCTGCGATATCTCTGCTGATGGGCAGCTGCTGGCAGCCTTCATTCCCAGCAGTCAGAGAGGCTTCCCTGATGAGGGAATACTGGCTGTGTATTCTCTGGCACCCCATAACTTGGGCGAGATGCTCTACACAAAGCGATTTGGTAAGCATGCAGCAAGAAGTCAGGGTGGGTAGGAGTGTGAGACGTTACCTCACAACTCAGCCTTCGGTGAGAAATGCAATAGTCTGAAAATCAGTGATTGTAGTAACAGGAAATATTTTATTGACCTTCCAACCAGCCACAAATCTAGTACTGCTGGGGAAAAGCTTGTGTGACAGTCTGGATGCGTAAGGTGCTGGTATGGGGGAGCTGCTAAGGCATAGTTTTTTATTTCTTAAAGAATTTCATTATCTTAACGAAAGGACACTTGCTCACAAAAATTGTTCTTGTGCAGGTCTCCTTGTTTTTCTCTACCTCTTAAAGCATGAGCTTACTATGCCATACATTATGGGAATGCTGGGAGGGAATGAAGAAGCTGTGAGGATGAGGTGTAGGGAGGGATGTCAACCTGTGAGAGAAATAACTCCTCTCCTCTTTATAGGCCCTAATGCCATTTCTGTGAGCCTGTCTCCAATGGGCAGATACGTAATGGTGGGACTGGCTTCCCGGCGTATCCTTTTACACCCCTCCACAGAACACATGGTTGCTCAAGTCTTCAGGCTGCAACAGCCCCACGGTGGAGAAACCTCAATGAGGGTGAGTGTGTGTGTATTCTATTTCTGTGTGTTTTCATCAGTGATTTTGTATCATTTTGGCTCCAGCATAGTAGGTGGTTGCTGGGTTATGATAACAAAGAGAGAATACTCCAGGCCTACTTGCATAATAAACATGTGAAGGAATCTATTACAGAGGTATGCAAACATGGCAGGAGAATGTGAGTATAACAGAATTGTGAAACTTTACTCTGGTTTCAAGTATAATGACAAACAAATATATTCCATGTTCTGTGTGGTATCCTAAGTCTAGATGTCACTCACAGTAGGTCTTTTGTACTTCTCAGAGTAACATGCATATTGCTTGTGGTACTACAGTTGGCTTTGCTGAGGGAGATTTTCAGCTGAGGTTTCAGGATCATTTCCTGACATTCCTAAAAGCAGCTGACCTCTAGGAGAGTGGCCACTAGTGGTTTCAGGAAGGGTAGGAGCCAAGCTTTGTATCATACCCGCAGACTGAAGGTGAGGTTTACTGTACTTTTCACAGTATCACACAGAATCACAGAATGT